AGCAAGTTCTTCTGGCAGAACACCTGGGTGAACTTTACCAAAGTTACTCCTTTTCAAAGAGGCCCAAGTCCTGGTTCGGGGGATGAAGACTCTTCTGGATTCACTCTTCCTTGGAGCTTGGCTCAGCCCTATGGGCAGTGGCTGTGCCCAGTGTCTGATATTCTTGTGTTTCTATACCTCTCCCTCATTCCTCACTGGCCCATGCTCATTCCATGCTCCAGTCAACAACTCCTGTATTAAACATCCCCCATCATACTGCGCGCTACTACCTCGTGACCGGCCCCTAGCTAACACAAAGACGGAGAAAGCCACACACATGGGCCACTCACTGTGGCAAATGGAGTCCTCTGCAGGCCACGGCGAGGGTGCAGAGAAACAGGGGAGTTGAGAACTGTTAGAATGGAACAAAACTGGGCTCTCATGGAAGCATGTTCCTCTTCTGGACTGGGGAAGAGGTTCTGGCCATGAGCCAGCTAGACTTCAGGATGGCCCAGCTCTTCACTTCTTGGAATGACATGGTTGACAGTGGCCATCCTCTCTATGTCAAGTATGGCTGTGCACCTAACTTTTTTTTTTCCAGTCCACCATCTTCACATTTATTAATGACTTGTGCAAATACTGATCACTCCCTTTAATCATATTTACATGCTCTGTGTTTTATGTGTTATTGATATGATATGGTTTCATTTATTTTTCTTTGTTGTGTCTCTTAGAAATCATTTCTTTTTTTTTTCATTTTAGTTCTTTTTTTTTTTAATTTTTATTGTTTTATTATTCATATGTGCATACAATGTTTGGGTCATTTCTCCCCCCTGCCCTCACCCCCTCCCTTACCACCCACCCCTCTCCCCCCACCCCCTCAATACACAGCAGAAACTATTTTGCTCTTATCTCTAATTTTGTTGAAAAGAGTATAAGCAGTAATAGGAAGGAACAAGGGTTTTTGCTAGTTGAGATAAGGATAGCTATACAGGGCATTGACTCACATTAATTTCTTGTGCATGTGTGTTACCTTCTAGGTTAATTCTTTTTGATCTAACCTTTCCTCTAGTTCCTGGTCCCCTTCTCCTATTGACCTCAGTTGCTTTTAAGGTATCTGCTTTAGTTTCTCTGCGTTGAGGGCAACAAATGCTAGCTAATTTTTTAGGTGTCTTACCTATCCTCATATCTCCCTTGTGAGTGCACCTAACTTGTCCTCTAAGTCTCTCAATCAACAGTGATGGCCCAATGTTGGATCACAAGTTTGAGGCCAAGTTGGAAAACTTAGCGAGACCCTGTCTCAAAATAAAATTTAAAAGGGGTGGGGATGTAGCTCAGTGACTGAATACTTGTGAGGCCATGGATTTGCTATCTCCAGCACTGAAAACAAAACAAAAACTCCACAGAGCTGCATTGAGGAGCCTTGTCACCACTCAGTCCTGTGAAGATCACAGGATTATCTATTGCAACCATGATCCATAAGGGATGAGACTTTGGGTAATCTTGGGATGGGGAGGATGTATTTTGCATGAGAGAGGAATGCAAATAATTGTAGTCAGAGGTCAGAGGTCAGAGTGTGGTAAGCTGGGGTGAAGCATGTCCATAGTATACTGCATATTTTCTCATCAAAAGAGAGCCTATTTATCCAACTCTTGAATCTGAACTTGGCCATGTGACTGACTTTGGCCATTAGACATCAGCAAATGTGACATAAGCAGGAGCAGGAAAAGTGCTTATGCAAGGGATTTGCCTTCTCTTAGCACAAATAAAACCTTTCTGCCATCCTGTGTGCTGGCCAAGGCTGGCCTCCTGGAGATGAAACACCTCAGATGCTCCAGGCTCCTCCCCCAGATCTTGCCAGACTCATTTGCAGTCCAGTCTCCAGGCACAGCCCTAAGCCATCAATCAACACTCCTTCCACCCTGCAGGAGTGGTGTCTCACTAGTGAAGGTTTTGGCTAGCAATGTCCCTGCATCCTCCTCACTCCAGGTTGTCACAGCTTTTTGGGCGACTCTACAGTGACAACTAAAGGACTGTGGACCAACTGATTTAGGCAATCCTTAATGCAGGTCCAGCATATGCACTGTCTCCAAAAGGCTCAGGGAACTGAGCATCGGGGCTCCTTCACCCAGACTCAGCCTTCCTGGGTGAGGCTCCAGCAAGGCCCTTGCAAGCCTGATCCAACCACTAAATCTGAGCACTGTCCACTTCCCTCAGGCAAGGGGCAGGAGGCAGTGGATGAGGCTGAGGCCTTTCTAAGGTCAGTGCCACCCGCACTGGCAGACATGCTAACTCCCAACCATCTCTCCTTTCTTCATGGTTGCTGTCATCTCTCCTGACTCTCTCCCTGAATTCTCAGAGGGCATCACCCCTGCTTACCATCTACCACAGCTCCGTAAGTATCCACACGCTGCTGCCCAGTTCTGTGAGCTCTTAGCTTCCAACAAGGTCAGTCACACTCTCAGGGTCACACCCCAGCTCTGTGTCCACCAGTAACTTGTTGCACGTCTACAGCCTCCATAGTCCTGTGACCAGAGCCTTGTCACTATACCTCAGCAATCCTCCTTTGCCCACTAGGAACCTTGTCCTCCAACCCAGGGCTATTTCACAGCCCCTTGCCCCCATTCACACATGTCCTACCACCCTCCTTGCCCCTGCATCCTCCTGACACCAACTGTCTGTCATGAGGACATGTCCTTAGTGAGCACCTCTCACACTTCAGCTCTGTCCTCTAGTGTGCTCACAAAAACCAAGTTGTCAGTTAAACCCACTCTGTGACCCCTGGCCTGCACCTGAGCACCAAGCGAGGCTGGAGCAATCATGGGCTGAGGACACACATGCTTCAAATGGGTGCTTGCAATGGCTGGGCCATCCCCCACCCAAGACACCCAAGTCTCATCTCCCCTGTCCCCAAGTCTCCAGCAGTACCTGCTTTCAATTTCTTCAATTATAAAATGCTAATATGTATGCATTCATATGGCTCAATAATAAAAATTATAACCAGGTACACAATGAAATGTGTCTTTTCACCCTGTCTCCATCCAGCCTAGATCCTCTCTTCCTCCTTTCACACATGCACACACACACACACACACACACACAGAGCACACACGTGCCACACCACCACATGTGCAAATGACCACTATTATTCACTCCAGGCTGCACTCATAAGCAAACAAAAACGTACATGTATCTCCATTTTCATCTATTTGAAGACAGACTCTCACAACCCCTGTATTATGTTCGTCTGCATTATGTTGTTATGTTCTTAACATTATATGCTCTGAACTTCCTTCTTTCACAGCTGTACAGCCCTCCATTGTTTGGGGATACTGCAGTTATTTCTCTGGTGTCTACCAATGGGTATTCGGGGAATTTCCAGTATTTTGCTACAACAATAGAAGGGAGTAACTTGGTACCTGTGTCACTTGCGTGGTGGCTGTTGGGCTATGGATAAGATAAATCCCTAGAAAGGGAATAGCTGGCTCACAGGTTTGTGCACCTGTGGACTTGACCCATGTCACCACATCCACCTCCACAGAGCCTGTGCATAATCAGGCCCCAAAGCAGTGAGAGGGCCTGGTGGCCAACAGCCTCACACAGGGAATTGTCACTCACTTGGGTCTTGCTCTTTCTAACAAGCAACATGCCCTTTCTGCAGACTTCTCAAACTTAACTTAGCCAACACCAGCCCCCCACAAGTCCTCTTTCCTCTTTTCTGGAAGCAGCGCCACTGACCACTGGCTTGGCTAGGATCTTTTAGACTTGAAATGCTCTATCACAGAGCCAACCCATTCTACTCACAGTCACAGCCCTTGCTATATCCCTGGAGAACCTCAAGTCTCCTATGGGCTCTCTGGGCCTTCCCTCTGCTCCCCATTCTCCATGCAGCAGCCAGAGGGGTCTTTCCAATTCATGTCACACCAACACCAAATCCCCTTTTTGGAACTCTCCAACACCTCCCATTACAGTTGGAATGAACCCAGTGCCATCTAACTCACTGCCCTTGGGCCCTGGCCTTCTCCCTGACAGGTCTCCCTCTGTGCACCACCTTCATCCACCCTATTCCTTCTCCTCTTTCTTACCCTACACTTCCCACCTGCTGTCTTTCTTCCCACTCGCCCCTCGCCCCCGCGATCGTGGACCCCCGGGGCGCTAGCCCGGCCTCCTGCGGTCTGTTACTGTCTGTGAGATTGCTTCAAAGCTTCCCTCTGGTTCTCGGCTCTCCTCCCTATGTGAGGTAGGGGAGCAGTGTCTCCTCCCTAGGCTCGAAGCTGAGGTGAGCCCCAGAAACCAACTCTCCCTGGGCTCCAGCGAGCTCCCACCCACAGCCCGTGCACAAGGCCCCGTCCCGCCCCCTGGCTTCCTACTGCGCGCTGGGCGCCATCCCATGCCCAACAGCCCGCGCGCGTGGGACTCTCCAGACAGGACTTCCTCTCCCCGCTGCAGCTCCCTCTGTGTCCCCGTGGACCCGGCTCCCGGAGCCACTCCCCGACTCTGTGGAATGGGTTTGTCACGCTCCACCCCCTTCCCTCTCTAGGGACTCTGTTCTACCCCAAATCCTAGGCCAGAATTGGGATGCAGAGGAAGAGCAGCCTGCCCTACCAGCTATACAGAAACCAGGGGCTATTCTGTTCACAGCCAAAATTCCAAAAATGTGAGTTTCCACAGGGGCCCAAGCATGGAGTCCACTCCTCCAACCTCCACTAGCCACTCTTCCTCACTAAAGGGCTGCGAGGGACAACCCCCTGTTTACAGATGAGGAAACAGTCAGGGGGAAGTAGCTGGCCATGGCCTGCAGGCTGTCCCTCTGAGCTCAGCACACAAGGAGAAGGGGCGGGGCATTCTCTTGACTGGATCATGGGGTGAGGGTGGAGGTGAGGGTAGGGGTGGGGGAGCTGGAACAGGATTTGACACAGAGCCTAGAGGATAGTTTTTGCCCAGACACCAAAATGATGAGAAAGCCACCGAAGGTGCTCCAAGTTTGCAGCTCCCAAAATAGACCACACACCACACCACTTTTCAAATCAGCTTTATATCAAGCTATAAAAACCTGGATCTAGTCTTAGTACACATATACAAAATCAGTACTATAAAAAAATATTAATAATAACATCATATAAGCTAACTCATACAAATGTAGAAATACTTTTATGCATCGTCATACTGGCCAGCTACTGGCCACAGTGCCTTAAGACAGTACCTGGGAAAAAGGGACAAACTCACAGAGCTGGCTCGAAACCCCAGCTCGGCACCTTAGAAGCATAATCAAAGCTAGGTCAGGCTTGCCCTCTCTTGTGCTCTGAGGGGACTTTTAGGCTCAGGGAGGAGTAGGCTCTTTGGAGTAGCAGAGGCCTACCGGGGCAACTAAACTTACACTTTCCTTGGTGTACAACCAGATGCCCCATGGTGCAGGGAATGGATGGGGCTGTACTGAGTAGAATAATGGCCCCCAACACTAATTCCCAGATCTTGTGACTGTCAGGTGACATGGCAAATAGGAATTAAAATTGCAGGTGGAGATAAATTCTCGTTCTAATCCACTAAGTGTGTGGAAATTTGTTACAGCAGCAATAGGAAATGATACAGAGCTTGCCCCAATCCTGCCAGTCCTCAGCCAGACTTTCAGGTGGCAGGGCTCACAGAGGCAGCCCTGGGGTCTGACCCCCTGCATGGGGGGCAGGGTGAACTTTGGAGGACCCAATAGACACTGGAATAACCTATGGTGGACAACACAGGTTCCCCCTTAGGGGAAGCCCTTGAGGAGTACAGAGGAGGGTATGGGCCTATGCTCCAGGGGCAGCCTGCCAGGGCCATTTGACAATCAGAAGTATGTTCTGATGCCATCTCTGCCCTTAGCTCACCATGGAGCCCTAAAAGCCCCTTTCCAGGCCCCAAATAAGAGTTGATTTTTTCCTTCTTTCCTTTCCAGTTCTGTCTTCAGTTCTAGAATTGCTTCCCAGCTCATGGTGGCCTGAGCCGAAGGAGGCAGAACAAGTGAAGCTTGGCCTCAGCCCTAGGAAGCTGAAGGGGCACATTCAGACCCACCCATAAGGAGGACCATTAGGAGACAGACTGTAGAAGGGCAGGGAGTGGCCCAGGATCCCTGACCTCTGGCCATACCCTCCCTGCCTCAGTTCCCTCCTTTTATGTAGACACGATCAACCATCATTTCTACAGTTTCTTAGGTGCCGATGTATCTTCTCCCTGTAACTAGTGTTCCCCACAGGACATGTAAGTGAACTGGGGTCTGTCCAACCCTAGCTGCCCAGGTCCTGGTCCAGAGCCAGGGCTGGACAGAAGCAGCAGCAGTATGTAAGAGGCCCATGAGGGGTCATAAAGACAGCACCAGTCTAAACAGTCCCCAAGTGGGGTGGTGCCTGATGCTTGCTGGGTGCTCACAAGCAGGTCAGACTGCAGGAAAAGCTAACCAATACTTATAAGTGAAAATAGGGACCTGGAGGGCTCCTGCACTCCCATATCGATGTCCAGGATATTCCGGATGCTCTTGACATCACTGCTTGATAGGTTCCCCTTGATGGCCAGGATGGCACTCAGATGGCCTTTGCTGGCAAGGAGAGCATCCCATTAGCCCAGTTGGTCATCAACACCCCTACTCACAGCCCTTCCCAGCTCCCCAAACTTCAGGCCCAGCCATAGGACCCTGCAGCCAACCCTCTGCTCACTAGGGCATCCCACTGTTCCTCACCCACTGTGCTCCAGCCCATCGGGCCTTTGCACTGGCTATTTCATCAAAACATGCCCTTGAGGTGACCACTTACTTCCTATCCTTTAGGTCTCATGTTACCACCCCCAAAAGGCCTTCCCATCTGTGAAGTCAACCCCTCCTATGATTCAAGATCTTGGTTAAACTCTACAACTTGGAATTGTTGGATTTCTTTGCCTGATTACCTCATGACTGCTGACCCTCAACAGACTGTAGCCTACATGAGGGAGGACTGAGGCCTGACCTATCTTGTACTTCACTGCATCCCAGTGTCTAGAACAGAGCCTGTCACCTAGAAAACTGCTAAATACTTGTTGGTGGGATGAGTGGAGGGATGGATAAGTGGGTAGGTGTGTGGATAGATGGAAAAATAGGCAGGTGGATGGGTGAGTAAGCAGAAAGATAGATGAATAAATGGATGGATGGATGGGTAGATGGGTACACAGATGGACAGATGATAGATAGATAGATAGATGAGATGGGTGATGGCTACTTGTATGGATGGATAGATGAATGGGTGGATAGAATGGACTGGGCTGGAAGTGCTGGATGACCTAAGCTAGGTCAACTTCCAGTCGATGCCCATTCATACTTTCCTTACCATGTCAGAGGACCCAGCACAGAGAGAAACAATGGCTCACCAGGCCCTCAGGCAGCTCCACTTCCAAAAAGGAGCCCCAGGACCCAGGGCATAGGTCCAAGCCCCAAATACACACAGGCACAGTGGTAGACCATGGTCTCTCTGGTCTCACTTTCCCCTCTGAGTGGTAACATCATGTAAGGCTAAGAGCATGGGCCATGGAGCACACTTCCTGGCTTTGTCTTAGCTCTACCACTAACTAGCTATGTCACCCTGAACATATCCCTTCATCTCCCTAGGCTTCAGTGGTATAATGGCAATAAACAGTATCAGCCTTTCAGGTTGTAGTGAGGGTCAAATGCATACATTTCTGGTAAAGACTTCAGCCCCTTGAGATCCTGACCACGGTGGGGCCTGACAGGGTCATCCTAACTGCTCAGATCCTCAGGGCCCCTTGTTCTCACCTGAAGTCAGGGTATGAGATGGCATATGTGGCTACCTCCATCTTGATTGCACTGGGATCTTGCAGACGAATGATCTCAGCGAGTGTGGGGAGGGCAAGGTGCAGCCAGGTTGCTGGGGAGCCCTGCAGGCACAGGGTTGGTTGAGGGAGGGTACACCTGTCCCCATGAGCACTTGGGGGCTAGAGGTGCTCAGGGCAATTACTAGCTGGGCTTAGTCCCTTCTAAACCCAAGGGACTAGGGAAGAAGTGGCAGTCCATCCCAAAGGGCCCAGGAGCAGTGGGCAGGGGCTCACATTCTTAGTGCAGAAGTCCCGGATGGCTTCAGCATTGGCCAGGATGTGCTTCGCCAGCTGCTGCTGCTGCTCAGCTGTCTTGAGGACCAGGCGAGGCTTGCTGAGGCGGATGATGTACTCCTTCACCAGGTGCAGGTGCACAGCCTCCATGAGTTCCTGAAGAGGCAAGTGGCCGATGGTATGAGACATTGCTCATGCTGCCAGGAAGCTCTCCTCTTCTGCAGCCTCCAGGCCAGGAACCCAGGAGAGACAGATGCAGAGCAGAGGGGTGCACGAGTGTACGCACACATGTCAGTGCATGAGTTCCCATGCAAGTGTGAGTGCATGTGGGTGCATGGGTGTACACACACGTGTCAGCATGGGCATCCAGTCTGCCCCACCCCCAGGGCCAGCCACCAGCCTCGAGCCCCCCTCACCTTCTGGAAACAGTCCTGCAGTTCTGAGAACTCAGGCAGCCTTCCGAACACAGTGGTGAAGATTTCCTCCAGGATCTCAGCTGGCGCTGCCCAGCGAGTCTGGGTGAACTTCTTGAACAGTGGCTGAGACAAGAGAGAGGCAGGATGTCTGGTCACACCCTGGAGAGGAAGGCCACCAGGCACAGACACCTCACACTGACACACTCAAGGACTCCCCAGGAACCGGACAGAGGTCAGGTCCCCCGTTCACAGACAGGAAGTGGAGGCAGGGACTGTGTACTCTTTTCCAAGGTCATCCAACTGCAACTCAGGAGCCAGGACAGCATGCCTGCAGGCCCTGAGGCCTTTTCCACCAACTCCCTCTTAAATAAACAAATTCCTGCATAAACAAGGCCTTGCTCTTGGCTGGGCCATGAGCCTGTGCCAAGTCATTCAGGGTCACTACCGGGGCCTTTAACTAAATCCCAGGGCTGCCATGACCTCCAGTCCCAGACACTGGGCAAGGAGCCCTGCCTCTGCCTTTTGAGGGACCCCTGACTCCCACTCTGTGGATTTCTAGGCCTCCAGGAGATGCAATCCCACTACCAAAGGCCCTGAGCACCAGGAGTTGGGAGTGAGGCATGAGCTGGGGTGAGAGGTGGGGGGAGCTCTGAGCTCTATGGGGAAGGGCACTGAGACTTCTTCAGGCCGTCCCAGCCCTGGCAACCCCTCTCAGGCCAAGCCAAGCCCCAGGAGCAGGTGCGGGGGACAAAGTGGAAATCCTTACAGGATCCCATCACCCAGGCATACCGAGCACCACAGCAGTAACCCAGTCATGCCTCCCACAGGCCTGGAGCAGGTCCTACCCAACTGGATGCTTCTGCCTTCCCTCCTGAGCTCCTCCCGCGCTCTTGCCCCTGTGCTAGGTTCAGTGTGCTCCTCAGGGAAAGAAGCCCATCTTACCTTCAGGTCCACAAAGAGGTTCTGGAGAAGGATGTCAAAGCTGTGACCCTTGAGCTCATTCAGGGGGTCTAGCAGGTGGCTAGAGGGATTTTGTGGTATCTGCCACTTCTGCTCCATAGATGTTCTGGACAGTGGAGGCAGGAGGTTATATACCAGACTTCCCAGCCTCTAGCCCCACACCCAGTGAGCCCCGAACCAATCTTCCTAAACCATCTATTCACTCTAGAACTCTCAATGGCTCCCCACTCCCAATGAGATCAAGTCCAAGTCCTACCTTCATACTCTCATACCCCAGGATATACCTGAAGCACATCCCCTTCTACCTGAGAGCAAGTTACCTGACTCTGCATCCCTCAGTTTGCCATCTGCTTCATGACTTTGTTATAAGAATAAAGTATGAGCAGATCACTGGTATCCATGTTGACTCCTTCAGCCCTGGACAGATGCCTGCAGCATCCTCACAGACCGTGTTAACTTTAATTCCACATCTCTGCAAAGGCGACTCCTCCCTCCACTTCCCAGCTGCCCCATGTCTCCATCAGGCAAACCCTCCTATCATCCTCACCGGAAGGACAGGCAATTGTTGACGTTGGCAATGACATTGGCCCTGTAATTTTTCAGCTGTTTGCCTCTCTCCAGAAATTCATCAAAGGTGTGCTGGTAGCTGGAAAAACCAGAAGGGGCTTCTTTAAGACCAGCACAAACACTGAGACAATAGCAGCCTCCCTCCCCGTTCCTCCCAGGCTTTCTGGGTTTACTGAGTGCTGTTCCATCTGAATGTCTTCCCACTGCCCAGGGAGGAGCCCGTAAGTATTGGGTCACTGGCTACACAAACTAAGGCCAAAGGGGCCAAGCAACTCCTAAGAAGGTATTACCCAGCTCTGGGGTCCTTGCTCCTTCTTTAAGTCACCTCCCCCTTCTCCAGCACTCTGCAGAGTGCTATGGTTGACTGATGGAGTCCTCAGAAGTGAGTTAATTCTGGAATGGGGAATGGGTGTGTGGAGGGAAGGGTCCCCCAGTTTCTCATGGACATCCTGACAGGAATGTAGCCTCCAGCAACCGGATCTGCTTAGGTGGCAGTAGGCTCCCCAGCTTGATACCCTGCAGCTCCCCTGCCAGTTTAGGGCTGCTGAGGATTTCACTGTGGGCAGAGGTGGGGCTGGCATGAGGAAAACTGCACCCATTTAGCAACATCCCTTCAGCAGGAGTCCCGGACGCAGCACAGCCCTGGCACTCCTCACTCAAGGCTCCCCAGGTCAAAGGATGGATCCTCATCTGCTTAGTTTGGTTTAAGCCCCAAACCCTGGGATCATTGTGCCTTACACCCCCACAGCCACTCCTGCTCTAAAAGGTCCCTAAAAATCTATCAGCCTAGAGGTTACCCTGGTCCCCTGCCAGGCTACCACTCTCTCCCTCCTGGCCCCCTGCAGGAACCTCCTCCTTCCTCCCTCCCTGCTCCTACCCTGGCCTCCACTGCCTTCACCACCCAGAGCTTCCTTTCCAATCTGATCACCTCTTGCTCAAAAGCTTCTCTCTGTCACAGATACAACCCAACTCCTTATCCCAGTGGCCTTGAGGCCCACTCCACTGGCTCCCTACAAGTCTACCCTGCTGACAGGCAGGAAGGGCTGCTCCATATTGCTCTCCTGGTGCCTCTGCGGGGCTCCAGACATCCTAGAGGACCTGCCCAGCCCTGGTACTTTCTAAAGACCATTTGTCTGCCTAGAGGCTTAAGAATAACCCTTTCTGTGCCTCTCAACCAGTCTGGATGCAGTCGTATCCCTCTGTTCTCCCACACTTCAGGCCACACAGGCCTCAACAATGACTCCTTGGACTCCATATCTAGGTTGGGCTTAGTTTCCTGCTTTGCTAACCTCACTAGGCCCAGACACCCAAGTGTCACAAGGACAGGAAGGCATTTAGGTAGAGGTATGAGTGTTGGGCATTTCCTGATGAGTCAAGATAGGCTGGCAGGAACTGGATCAGGGCCCAGCTTCTCTCTGGCAGCCCCTGCCCTGTGACCATTTCCCTTTGCCCAGCCACCTCCTCACCTAACCACCCCCCCTCCAGCCCCTCTGTGGCCTTTCTCTGGCCCTCCTATTAGGGGCTGGTCCATCAGCACCAGCAGGCCACTGGCCACTGAAAGGTCTCCAAGACCCTCAGACAGTGCTCACACTATTTGTGCCCCCTACCCTTCCATCCTGCAGACTTCACATTCAGGGAAGGGGACAGCAAGGGTGGAATACCCTCAACAGGAACCTCCAGTCTTCACTGCCCTGGGCATTTCTAGCTTGTGTGAATGACAGACACACTCAGGGACTCTGGGATCCATGGAGTCTGGGGCCAGACCCAGTTGGGTACCAGCTACCATCCTTTGGCGCAGCCAAACCCTCACTTTCGGATCTCCAGGCCTTAGCATGCAAGGCCAGTGGTCCTGCAGTGTGCTCACAGGGATCTTCCCAAGAGGACACCTGCCCCTATCCCAACCCTGCTAGCTCTCCTGCTTGGGGTTACCTGCACAGCATGCCAGACAAATCCAGTCACCTGGCAGCTCTGCTCAACTCCCAGAATTCCAGTCCCTTTGCCAGGAACACCATCCTCCTACCACTTCTTCCCTGCCCATCCTGTCCCCTTCTCTGTCTGACTCCACATCCATTAATTAGACTATGAACTGTGACTCCCCCAGGCCTGGTCTCCTCTCAGGGCCCTGCTCTGGCCTCCCTTGTGTCTGGCCTCCTCTGCCACACCCTTCCTGCTCTGCTTCATCTCTCTCCAGACTGGGACCTCCTGAGTGAATGACCAAGCCCCTTCCATTCTCTGTGCCTCTATTTTCCCAACCGCAGAACATGGCTGGGGCCACCTGAGGGTTCCAAGCACAAGACAGACCCAGCTGTACCCAGGCTTGACGAGTCGCATCATGCCCAGGCTTGGCTCCTTTGAACCCAAGTCGCACCCAGCAACTCTGCACTCAGTAAATACTGGTTCCCGCGGGACACCCCTCCGAGAGGAGACCCCTCCCCGACCACCAGCACCAGCTCACTTGGGGTAGAAGTTCTGCACCCAGAGCAGCAACAAGTAGGTGTCGCGCTCACACAGCTCGAACTGCGCCATGGCGCTCAGGTGGGTCGCGAAGTGCTCGTGGTAGCTCTTAGCGTAGGTGGCCACGACGTCGAACTCGGCGGGGAACAGCGGCTTCAGCCGTTCCACCGCGGCCACCAGGTCCTCCTTTATGGTGCGGCCCATGTGCAGGAAGACTCTCTCGGCCTCCGAGAGGCCCTCGGCGCCCGTAGTCGGCGGCGCAGCCAGGCGCTCCGCCGCCACCTCGGCCACGCCGCCCCGCCACAGCTGCAGCCAACACCGCGGGCGCGTGGCCGCCAGCTCTGCCGCCCGGGGCCCCGCCGCCGTCGCCCGACGGTCCTCGAGCTCCTGCTCCGCCACCACGGCCAGCGCCTGGCGCAGCCGCTCGGGCGCCACCTCCAGTGGCCTCCGCAACACGCCGAGCACCTGCCCGCGCAGCAGCACGTACAGCGCCTCCACCTTGCTCTGGCGCTGCACCAGCTCCTCCGCGCTCATGCCGCCCGCCGCCGCCGCCGCCACCAGCTCCCGCTCCAGCGCCAGCAGCGGCCGCGCCGCCTCCAGTCGCCCGAGCTCCAGGGCCTCTTTCAGCTCCTCCACTGCGGGCCAGAAACCTGCATTAGGCTTCCAAACCCACCGTGGACAAGAAGAGGCTGGGACCCCAGAGGGTGAGCCTAATGCCCCAGCCCCCAAGATGGGGGACACAGGTGACAGAGGGAGATGGGCACCTCCTAACCCATCTCACCTCCCAGTCCTGTTCTGGGTGTGTGGCTCTTTCTCTCCCATGAGTCCCAACCCTGCCCAGGCTTGGACCAGCTCTATGGCAGGACCCCAGTCCCAGCTAAGGTTCCCCCTACCTGTGGGCATTGGCCCATCCAGCTCTGGCTTGGTCTTGGGCTCGCTCTCTGGCTCTGTTGAGCTGGGCTGACCCTTCTTCTTCTTCTTTTTCCCTTTGGTGAAGACGCTAAACATGTTGGCCAGTCCTTTTGGCTTCTTCTTCTCCTTTTTTGCAGTTTCTTCCTCCTCCCCACCTGGGGCCACCCCAGCCAGGAGGGGTGGCATTAAGTCTTCAGAAGAAGCCTCTGACATGGAGGTCTCTGACTCGGCCTCTGATACAGAGCGCAATTTGGGGGGACTTCCAGGGAAGTGGAAGGTCTCTGGCATAGGCTGCTGGCTTGGAAGGCTTTGGAAGAAGGTCATCATCTTCAGCATGACCCTGGCTCAGTCCTGCTGGTGGGGGATGGGGAGTGAAGGAGTCAGTGATGACAGTGGGCCAGCTCCCAGGCCTGCATGTCCAGGCTGGGTGGCAATAATAAGCATGCTTACTCTACTTTTACCTGTACAACCACCAGGGGCCCCAGCCATTTCCTGGCTTAGGTGAGCACCAACTCTGTTCCCTCCCTGGCCACAAGTGTCCCAGCATGAAAAGATCTTCTTCCAGTCCTCCATGGTACCCTCCCAAAATTACCCATGAGGCAGGAAAGAAGCTGGAGACCCCAAGCCTCCCAGATGGGATGGATAGAGGAGGGCCTTCTCTGCATTTTGGCAAATCTTTCCTTGCTAGTCCACCCTCTTGTTAAGGAGAAGGGATAGCAGGGAGTGAGTACTTGCCTGATCCCACCCGACCCTGGAGAGGAGGCAGGACACAAGCTGCTGTCCCTTTGGACAGAGCAAGAACAGAGGTCCAAAAAGGTTAGAGCCATGCCAGGATTACAGAACACCAGGTTAGCCTGAGGCAGGGGCCCACACCTCCTCATACTCAGCCTGGCCCCAGCCCTCCTATCACAGTTCTGATCTAACTTTGAGGTTATGGAAAGATGCCATGAGTAGAAATACAGCTGCTCTTACTGGGGCCACCAGGGGAGCAGAGCCTGACTGCCCCATGCTGGCCTCAGGTGTCAGGACTATAGAAGACATAAGGCCCCCTCAGGCTTCAGATGATGGGACAGGACCTCTGAGAACCTTTCACATGTCAACAAGGGAAGGGGCTTGGCAAGGCACAGGGCTGCCTGAGGTCACCAGCAACTTGAGCCTGGCTTCCACCCCACCCTGCCTGCTCCCAAATGGGGTGATGTCACCTTCACAAAAGCTTTCAGTTTCGATGTCCTTCCTGGGTGCCCATCCCATCTCTTCCTCTCTCCCACCCAAAAAGGGTGTTATTTAGCTTAAAATATCCCTGTGGTCAACAGCTTGAACTTGGAAGTCAGGTCAGCTGGCTCCTGAGCCCAGCTTTTCCTTGTCTCCTCATCCCCCATTGCATCCAGAGAGGCAGACTCTCCCCACTGTTTGAGCAAGGCCAGGACCACCAGAGCCAAGTATGGCTGACCCTGAGAGAGGGAGCAGGCAGGGGTTTGGGCTCCCTGGTAACTGGCATGACCCATAACCATGGTGCAACCTGCCTGCCCCACCCTCAAGAATAAATACATCAAACTGTATCTCCTGTTCATCAGGATGTCTTGGAGTAACCCTGAAACACCCGTGCACGGCAGACAGGATGATCCATCATCCCAAAGGAGAAACCAATTCTGCAGATGGTAGGTGTTTGCCCAAGGACCAGCAGGTGGGAGAAAAGGGGGAGCTCAGATTAGACCTCTTCCCACAGCCCCTTCTGCCTCCATCAGCCCAGCTACCCTGCCCATTCCCTGATGGGCTTGTCCCCTACCCTGGGGCTTGATCAGAGCCACCTGATTGGACAGGAAGCCTGGGTTTCTTCACCCAGCCCCTGTCATCCTCCCCAGGTTCTCTGGACAGAGTCCTGCACTCCCAGACATCAGCTGCCTCCCCAGTGCCATGTGGGTTAGAATTCCACCCCCAGGACCAAGCAGGGTGTGCTCTGGGGAGGCCTCAACCAAAGTCACTAGGATTGAGGTCACAGGCCATTTCAGCCCCTCCCAATCCATTCCATTTGCATACCAAGCACCCACAGAAACTGGTCTGGCCACAGGGGCTGCTCAGCCCCTCCCCAGTACCTGGGGTACCTGCCCCCCTTATGCTCCTCCTGGGATGGGGGAGGGGTGACCCTGGCCAGCAGTGCTGCCCACCAGCCCTACCTAGGCTCTCACTGTCATGCCTCCCAACAGCACAGTTTCTTGGTCCCACACCCGCCAGGCTCTGTGTGACCTCCAGGCCCAGCTCCTGCAGGTCCTTTAGGGTGTTGCTGTAGTGCACAAACTCCTCCTGCAACAGCAGCCCTGGGTCTGTCTCAGGCTTGGCCTGTCAGAGACAGCTGGTGTGGAACCAGCAGTGGGCTCAGCTTCACTTGTCACTAGTGTGTGGACTACACTGCACAACCCCCTTCTTTCATAGGTTTCAGTTTCCCCATCTGTGAAATGGGAATAATGCCTTTGTCTCCAGCCTCACCCCTCTCCCTGCCCTCTGCTCCCTAGCGCTTAGCCTATGGGCCTCAGTTTCCCTAGTAGTGGGACTACCCCCGCCTTCTAGGCCACTCCAGGCCATTCCCTCCGGGAACACGGTAGGAGACTCAGGGTCGGGACCAGCGGGAAGTCGCGCGGAGCGTGGGGACCGACGCAAAGCGGCGGAGGTCACTTACTGTGTCCAGGCTGGGTCGCCGCTGTCCTGGCCCCGACTGAACACTGCCTGAAATAGTCGCAGGCTCCGCCTCCACCCCGCCCGCCCTGCTGTAACCGCGGAAAACCCGCGGGCGGAGGCCAAGGCCTAGGCTGCGCTGGGGTCGGGCGGTGCTGTCCCTGCCCAGTCCAAGATAGAGGGGCGGGACGCTGCCCCCCGCAGCCGGGGCCCGGGATGGCGGGGCCAGCCGAGCGTGGCCCGGGTATGTGGGGCGCTCGGAAGGCATCTGCCCCCCCCTCCCCGCCCCCGTTCACCCCCGGATGGATCAAATGGGAGCCGAGCCATTGTCCGACGACGGCCTCTGATTGGCTGCCTGGCAGGGGCGAATGCCCAGGGCTACGTCACACAGCCAGCACCCACCCCAGCTGGGGGGAGCGCCCTCTCCCGCCCTAACGGCTCTGCCGCGTGAGATCGCCCCTCTGGGCAGAGCGTTCCCCTAAAGGCACCACTTGTGGCCGCAGAGGCTTGGGAGGCGGGCTTTCAGGAGGAGAAGCCCAAAGGAAAAGGGGCTGCTGTGCGCTGAGCCGAACGCTGGTGTCTATCCAGTCCTTTCATTCTCAAGCTTTGCTTGAAATGAGGACGTGCTCTGAAAGGTGAAGTCACATCTGAGAGTGACAGAAATGGCAGAGTATGGCCTCAAGCACAGGCGTGGAGGACTCCCACTGAAGCACTTTCCCTTTCTGGTCTAGGGCTGGGCCAGGACCATGGGTACAAGGTCCAGACCCGAAAACTCAGGCTTCATTCACCACCACTAGCTCACCTTACACCCGACTCAGCATGGCGTTGAGCCATGGCATCCTTTCTGGACCTCAGTTTCCCCATCTACATGCTGTATCTCTGAGTCTGTCTCCGGGGATGGGAAGGTTGGGAGAAGATGGACTGAAATATGAAGGAGATCCATGGGCGACTCCATAAGTCACTTAGCCCCTCTCTATTTCATCTTAGGAATTCCTGCCCTCTGGAAAGGATCATGTCATTCAGGAATTTCCCTCTGGGAACCAGCTTCCCTTTTGCTTCTTGCTGGAGCCAAGGCTCCTCCCCACCTTTTGTTTGGTCCTCCTTTTTCTTCCCCCCTCCTTTCTCCCCCTACTAGCCTGGGCACAGGTCTTTGAGGGTAGGGAGGGACTGTGGAATGGGGGTTATGTTCAGGGGGTGTCCCTTGGGACTGAGAACTTCCTCTTCCTCCTTGGGAGTGGAGGCTGAGTGTCAGGTTTAGGCTTGGACTATTCTCCATCCTGTCCCTGGGGGGTTGTGAGAGGCAGGTATAGGAGGCTGCCAGGAGGTGGCTTGAAGACAGAGACCCCACCTCTTCTTTCCACGAGGCCCCCAGGGATAAGATTTTTCAGATAAGCCCATGGAGCCATAGGGCTCAGGCTGGTGGGTCATTCCATCTTTCCCCTCCACCCTGCAGCAGCTAGGGAGACTAGGGGCCTGGCCCTGCCCAGGTTCGTCCAGAGAGGGGGGAAGAGGATGAGAAGGCAGGAGAATGACCACTGCTCCCAGCTGGCTGCTATTGTGCAACTTCCCCAGCTTTTGCTCTATCCACCCCTCTCCTAATCCCAGATTGGGAAATTGCTAGGAAACCCTGTGTGAGTGGGGGGGGGGGGGCGGTCAGTACAACCCACAAGACCCCATATCTGCTTAGAGTTCCTGTCGACATTGTCTTCTCAGGGCAGGTGCTGGACTGCCAACCTGGTCTCCAGCTGCCCATAGTGGCTCACCCAGAAGCAGATGCTGCCTTCCCCTGTGGATACACCAGTCACTTCCCCTCTTCTAGTACAGGCATGAGGGTCAAAGACCCCCCCAGTGAAGTCCCCAACACAAGGAAAACCTGAAAATGGAGCTGTGGGGAGGGCGTAGGGCCAAAAATCAGTAGGGTCCACAAGATAAGGGCTATTTCACCCTCCTCTTGACAGTCCCTGAGAGGCCAGGCACTTCCAGAGGGCCCCAAAGGCCAGCCAAGAACTCCACTCCTGGCAGAAAGTGAGCATCTGGAACTGCTTGCAGGACCAGCTGCTGTCCCATTCCCCAGCTCCCCAGAGACTGAGAGGTGGGGCAGCGGGCAAAGCAGGCTGGCAATGGCCCACCAGTCCACTCTAGAAGTCCTAGAGGCCAGCACCTGGCCAGGAGCCATGGTCCACTCCTTGGATGCAACCTGGGTCACATGGCCTCCCCTCTGTCTCTTCTGCTCAAGGAGCAGCTGCTGACTGTGTTTTGGGGTGTTTTGTTATTTGTTTGACAGTGTCTTGCTTGATAGACCAGGCTATTTACCTCCTTAGTGCTGGGATTACGGGTATGTACCACCATGCTGGCTGGGCTCCTTCTTTTAATTGTAGTACAATATATTTAACATGGAACTTACATTTTAACAGTACTGGTCACTAGGATTATTTACACTTGCACTATTGTGCAATGACTACCACCATCCAGCCACAGCACTCTCTTACTCTTGCAAAATTGAAACTCCCCATTCCTTACTCCCCATCCCCAGTTTACTGTTTCCATGGCTTTGACTTTTATTTATTTTTTATTTTTGGCAGTACTGGGGTTTGAACTCAGGGTCTCATGCTTGCTAGGGAAGGACTCTACCAGTTGAACCAATCTTCCAGCTTGAGTGGACTGATCTTAGACAGCATAATGTCTTCAAGGTTCATCCACGTTACAGCATGCATCCAAGTTTCCTTCCTTTTCAAATCTGAATCATATTCCGTTGTATGGATGGACCCCACATTGCTCATTCATTCATTCCTCTGTGGGCACTTGCATTGCTGCCCCCTTTTGGCTACTGTGAACAGTGACGCTGTGCACAGGTGTGCAGTTCTCCATTCATGTCCCTGCTTTCCATTTGTTTAGGTAGACAGCTGACTTGTTGACCTGCACAGGTGCGGGGCTCTGTCCTAAGTGCTTTGCATGCATTAACTGATTTCTTTACACAACCATACAAAGTACGTATTGTTGAATCACTCCTTTTTCACCGATGAGGAAACGGAGGCATGGATAGGTCCAGTCAGCTGCACTGTGCCACACTGCTTCTCCTCCAGTGTTGCTCAGTATTTGAAATGCAGCTTGATACATTTAAGTCAGACACAAGGAAAGACAGAGAGTTTAGATCGAGAAATGGGAGGCGCTGTCTTCCCCTTCATTTTATTCATTGATAAAAATTCTCAATATTTTTATTACCCTGTTCAGTCACTTAATTAAACCTCTAGCCCTGCCCTGTGGGGCAACAGGAGGGGAGAGCTCAGCCCTGGAAGCCTCTCTGGTCAGAAAAAAATGCACAGCGGTATATCACTGACCTTCTTCCATTCATTCTCTGGCCTGTCTGAGAAGGTGCTGGGGGTAGCTAAAAGCAGAAGGACCACATTTTGGGGCAGGGCTCAGCAGGTACAAAGGCCAGATGGGGGATCAAGCAGGTATGAAGAGGCCGTGAGTCACTGGGCTTGGCTACAGCAGGAGGCCTGGCCAGAAGGCTGGGCTAGCAGCCTCTAGGATAAAAGGGCAGTGCTGGTTGTGGGGTGGATGTCCCAGGAGGGAGGGGCAGGGCATTCTAAGATGTCCCCTACCACCCCTGTCACCAGACCCACTTCCCTCTGCGTGATGACTTGCACTTCCCACTGCCCTAACCTCGACTCTCAGGACACCAGCTTCTCCCTTTTGCTTCTCAGGCCATCAAGACCTTGACCATTCCTGGAACCTCTTGTTTCCTAGGGACATCCCAGTCGCTAACTGCACTCACCATTGTATCTTCTGTCAACAGATGAGGAAACTGAGTCTCAAAGAAAAAAAGTAGGCACAAAGGTTGAGGCTTTGAAGCTGGAATTACTGGGGCCACCCAGCTTTCCCAAGGGAGGAACTGACTGACTCTCTTAGGGACATTGGCAGCTGCAAGGGGCTTTGGTTTGAGTCTGCTGACCTCCCTGGGATCATGGGATGACCAGGACAGCTGGCCAGGGCCACACTCAGGACATGTCCTCCTACCAAGGCAGGGAGCAGAGGGTGCACACCAGAGATGATACTGGTGAGAAACTCCCCACCCCCAAAGCTGTTTACTGTCATAGCCTCTTCTCTTCCTTCCATGAACAAGCCAAGTCAAGGATCCCTTATTGTGTTTGGCAGATGGGAAAACTGAGGCCTGAGGAGGCTTCTGAGGAACCCTGGGAGCCTGGCCCATCACCCTCTGACAAGGCTATGTGGGAGAAATCAGAGCCCTCAGAGTGGCTAGACTAACCCTGGTGGCCTCCAAGGAATGCAATGCAGTTGGGCTTGCTGAAGAACTCAGCCCTGCCAAAACTCACAGGCCCATCAGGCCTCAGGCTTCGCAGAGCCAGCTGCACATGGGTCTTTCTCTGAACCAGCATGATTTCCAGGAAGCAGTGGAAGGGGCTGGAACAGAATGGAGGGGGGTGAGTGTGGGAACATCTGGTCCCTTGAGCTCCATCACTTGTGTCTGTGGCTTTCAGTGCCTCTTAAGGCCCCTGGGAATGAAGCTGATGCTGCTCAGAGGGCTAGCAGATGTCTTAAAGAAGACAGTACAGAGAAAATAGCTGCTACTTACAGGGGAGTGCTCTCATACCCCCAACCAGGGCTGGGTCATCCTCCAGAATCACACTTGCACTTTTCTTGGCTACCAATTTTTCAGAGAGACATTGCCCAGAGAGATGGAGTAATTTGCTTAAGGACACACAGGTAAAGTGCAAAGGTTCTAGCCCAAGCTGTCTGAATCCAGAAGGCTGGTACTTACTCTACACATCAGCGCGAATCCATGGGGAAGCAGAAAGCGCCAATAAATACACTGAGACAGCAGCGCGGCTGTCAAGTGAGTGGTCCTCCAGCAGAATAGTCAGGCAGCACACAGTTGTCTTGACATGTTGTCGCCCTTTGCGTCACGGTCCAAGATCCAAGTTCCATTATTTGGGAATTGTGTTCTCTAAGAACCTTGGTTCTCCATCATTTGATTTTATAGGGATCAAGAAGGATTGTCCCATCCCCCGACCCAACCACAAATTGGGGGCTTCAGTGATTCCAGAAATGT